CTTTCCAATGTGGTTTTCGGATTCAGCATAGTGAATAGGCCCGGGTAAGCACACAAGACTATGCTTCTTTAGTAGCTTCCACAAAAGATTAAAATTATTATGAAAAGTTGCATAAACTTCCGGCTTATAGTGGTCATCCTACCCTATTGTTCGCACTGTAGAAAACCTCTGAATTTTTATGGAAGCATGCAATTAAGAACACGAAGATGAGAGTAGCTCTGTTACAAGTTCAGCTGTGAATCTCTCGAATTTTTGCGAGACTGCACGAAGCCTTCAGGGGAGTTGATCTGATTTTCCAATTTCAGAAGTGAGAAGATGGTCCTAACTGTGGAACAGGGCTTGGCATAGCCTGGCACCGGGTCAAGCTGGATATCTTTTGGTACAAAAGCCAAAGGTAATATCGTTTTCGTGGCCGTAAAGACACAATAATTGCTGTTCAGAATTTGGTCAAGGGGGACTTCTTGCAAAATTTTCAAGATCAAAGGGAACTTCGTTTGGTGCCAGCTCGTGCCGAGCCCTGCTGTGGAATGCTAGGAACTTGATCATCTTACCGGCATCAAAAGCAGTGTGTGAAAGCTAGCCACACGCAGTAGCTGACTAGAGAACGGTTAGAAGTCAAAGTGGCCAACCCGAACAAGCTGCAAAGCATGCGATGCCGCATAGAACGCTGACCTCAAATCTATCTTCCATATCTAAAGAGCGCCTTTGTAGGCGAAATTACGAGCAGCTTTACTGCGAGTGCGAGAAAATCGCACACAAAGCGAAATTGGGTATGTTATTGCCCTTTTAGCTTACCTCTAGATACGTTCATATGAAGCGAACTAGTTGCATGTTCTGTCTAGCACTGAGCCTAATGGCTCAGTACAGCCAAGTTACACGAACATGAACGATTTCTTAGCAAAATAATGGCCTCTAATGGCTTATAATTTCATCCACAAAAGCGTTCTGCAAGTAAGGAAGACATCAGAGTCAGCGTTTTATGCTGCATCCAATAATATGCAGCTTGCTTGAATTGGCTACTTCGATTTCTGGCCATTCCCTTGTGAGTTTTGATAAAATATTTTTATGAATAGATGACTCCACAGTTCCGAGGATTGTGGAATTCTAACGGGATCGCCAACTGCCTTTCGTTCTGTCTTTCGTCGACTATGAAGAAACATCTGGTAACGCTAAGACAAACACATTCCTACCGGCGCTAGTGAATTGTAAGAAGTGGATCCATCCGATATAATAGCGTTGGCCGGCTGCTAAAAGGGCTGTCCGACAGCGATACTTTTATTTCATTGCTTCCCATACTAGCTAAAAGTAGAATTCGCCAAAACAACGCAGTATCGCTGAAGCTGTTTGTCACTGCGAAGATGTGTTTGCATTCTGTGCCGCTGCTCTTCTTAGGGTGGTTTTTTACAGCAAATCCTAAATTCTTACAAGGATCTTCAACTTTTCTTTCATTTTGTGTATTATTTGCCTTGGCAGTGCTCGTACAGATACTTCAAACGACTTCGACAATGTTTTGCTACTAATCAGTTTTTGTTGTGCCGTGATTAATAAAATGAAGCAGTGGCGTGTGCAGAGTCGAAGCTTCTCTTGCATAATGAGGTCATCTGCTACCTAGCCGCTGGTCCGGTTCTGAACTACTTTCTTCGCGCCATTCTCTCGTTTAGTAATAATTGCTCGTTTTACGAGGTATTTGAAATTGGAGTCGAAGTTCCTGTGCGGCAAGCACAGCGAATCACTTCGTAAGAGAAGCTAAGTCTCGTAGATCTTCGGACTTGATCGAGGTCATTTGTGCAATATAAAAGAACTTGTTTCAAAAGCTGCAGATATATGGAGATTTGCAAGCCCAGGCACTTTTAAATTGCTCGTGTTGATTTTGATGGAATTGAACATCAGACACAAGAAAGAAGCTATATTGTCAAATTACTATTGTCAACAGCGCAAAAGTCTAAATAAAATAAGCAGTGACAAATGGCAAAGAGGGATTTCTTCATTGCTAAGCAGGGAATTATTAGAACTTAACCCAGCCATACCAAACATCCTGTATGCCATAGGACACGTCTTGAAACGCTGATCATAAATATATGTAATTATCTGCCAGTTGACTATCTGGGAGGAGTTATGAGCGTTCTAATATGCGAGCAATTTGTCAAGTGTTTCGTGGCGCATGCTCCACGAAATAGGTTTCAAAACATTAATTTAGGTTTTTGATGAGTGTGCTTTTACCTTGTAATTAAAATAACCACAGCCACTGTAACTCATGACGCCATCAAGCTGCCCTTCAAGGAAATATATTTGTCGAAACTCGAGAAATTTCTCGGATTTTGACGCTCGTAACTCCTCCCAGATAGTCGCTTGTCAGATAAAAAACATATGTTTGGAATCAGCGTTCTAAGGCGAGTCCGAATATACACAGCTTGTTTGAAATGGCTGAGTTAAGTTCTGACCATTTCCTCGTAAGTTCTGTATTAGCTTGCTGCGCAACTCCTGCCATTTTTTGCCTGGTGCTCGCAGCTAAGAGGTTTTCGTATTTGATGTACATTTTCTAATTGAATGTGGAAGTCTCCGTTTGACGAAATTGCAGGCCCAAGACCCCCAGGATTCCAGAAAACAGTTTTTCCCAAAAAACGTATTTCTGTAAGAGAATCTCCACAGTGCTTCCGTCAAGTCAGGCGCTTATATTGATTACCGATTAGGCTAATAAGGGTGGAGTAGGCTAACATATGCGCAAACTCACTGATGTAAAACTCGTCTAGTTTTTAGTGGTCGTTGTCGAGTTATATTCATTTAAGTAAATGTTCTACAAGAAACAGCTTTTGACAATCGATGAGTCCAACGTTGCAGGTGTTAGGGTAAGAAAGGAGCCGGCACCCACCTAATTAGTACTTTTCACCATTTTTCATCAGATACAAAAATCTCCTGTTTGAAAATGGACGTAAATGCGTGTACTGAATGGAGGTCCAAAGGCGGCTTTTATCTGCTTATATAAACGTCAGCGCAACGAAGATTTCATGGACTCTTTTCAGCTATTAAAAGCCTTCAAAATTTTCTTTACCATTAATGATACTTGAATATGCCGCCAGTTCTTATAGGGGAGCATCATCATGTCAGAAATTCAGATTAAAAATTGTAAGGTTTTGAATTCTTGCTTTTCTCAAATGGCGTTCTTTGTAAGGCTTAATTTTTTTGATAGTCAGAAAGTGCACAAAAACTGAGTTTGAAAAAGTTGAATCTAGAAGTCAATATTTTGACTTGTGAAATAATGGTCAGAAATGCATCTATACACCAAGCTAGTGCATCCATCTAACAATGCGTGGTTGCAGCGGAGCATGATGCATTTGAATGAAAGCCACAAATTTGCTTTCTCAACTTTTAAATGATTTTTCTGACTAGAACAGCATGATCCCGCCATTAATAACCGGATTTTGCCCACATTGAATAAAATGCACATGGTTTAGCACATCTACGAAACGAGGAATTGCCGACAAAGCCACAAGAACGGTTTATAATTTCTTTAGAGCATTTGAAAACAAAGATGTAGCTGTCTTCTTGCAAGCGTATAAGTCGTTCATAAGACCCATGTTGGAATATGGTACCGTGATTTACAATCTATATTGGTGCAAAACATTGAACTATATTGAGAAAGTTCAGAACAACTTCACTCGGAAACCCTTCATACAACACAGGTTTTCATTATGATCTCATTCCAAACGGAAACATCCGGAATACAAATTTGGAACTTTCTTCACTTGCCTACAGAAGGCGCAAATTTGATACTGTGATGGCTCATAAGATGGCATACGGTACATGTGGATTAGAATTCAAGAAGTTTTTCCCAACCAGAACATCCAATACAAGGGGAGGTAGTAGAAAGCTCATTATCCCTAGAGCTAGGTTAAAGCTACACAAGGAATTCTTCACTTGCCGTGTCGTTCAAGACATAGATAGGCTTTTGAGGCGGCATTTGTTTCCTGCAAAGTTATCCCAGTTTGAGGCTGTTCTCAGGAATTATCTGCAGTCCAATAATAGCTAAATCTGATTTACTTGTTCTTTCACATAATCTTGCAGTTTACGTGTTGTTGTGCCATTAACTGATCTTCTTATTGTGTTCATGCAATCCTCGATATTTATGTGTTGTTGTTTTGGTTTTTATTGATGTTTTATAGTTCGTGTTTTTTTAACATAGGGTTATGTCTACGAATAAATTAAGTGAATTGAAATAAAATGAAATGAAATGAGGAAGACGACAAAGCAAGTAGAAGATTTTGAAGCTGATATCTATCTACCGCGCAGTACTTTTGACAATGCAGAGATATTGATTCATTTTGGTGTGAATTCAAGAGAAAAGAATCCCAAATTGCGGCGGAATCTGAAATAACTTGCATATCAATAGATGCGGCTTCTGATTTCAAATCCGAAGGAAACCAGGATAAGTCCAGCGCTGAATCTCTCGGTGTTATGCCTTGAAAAAGTGTAGCGCATAGATGTGCTTTCAGTTTGTGCGGAATACACATAGTTGCTCTGATAGGCTCCACAATTTCAAGAGGTCGAAACAGAGGCTTCCTGCGTATAAGTTTCCGAACTTATGCTCTTTCCTGCTGCCTGTTCATTTCTATTTTTATTGGTTATCAAGAGGTTACCTCGATAGTGTGTCTTTTTAGCTTAGCCTTGTGTCACCCATTACTTTGAAGCTTAATGAGTGACTGGGGCTACAAAAACATTCATTTCTTTGTTCGTTTCTACCCTCTAATTTCATTTCAGTGCATGTTATGCTGTTCTTGTTGTATGTCTGAGAGCGCGCAATAAATTGATAAATAAATGTCAACAAATGCGTAATAACAAATAAACAAATTTGAACGATTAAACAGAGTTGTACGCGAACCGTTGCGGTCTATGCAAACAATAGCTATTCGTCATTTCTGCCGCATTCCACACGAAGATCCTACAGGATTAGAGCAATAGATTACTGCTTAGATACAAAACAATTAGGCGGCGACTTGTTTCCAGCATTTTCACTCATCGCTCACTGATCCAGAATTTCGATAGGCGTTGAAAGTAGGCGTGTCCGATGATGAGCGTATAAAAGAGTCCTCATAACAAGTTGTAAAACATCGCAGTCATGAAAGATCAGCTCGTCGACGATGCCGAAGCGGAGATGCATCGTTTTCGCAGGTTTTTATTGTTTTCTTATAGAGTTCTTATTTCTAGTTTGACTTATCCTCAGTTCGATGCTATTATATTCAGATCCGCTTTTGCTGCGGTCACTATTTCTACAGTTACTATTCTTGGATGTATTATTTTAATTCCTCTGGCTTACCAGAATGTTCAAAAACTACACAGTAACCTGCTCAATGATGCACATTTCTGCAAGGTTTGCACAATATTCCCACTTCCTCTCACCAAAATCATATTTTTCGCTTTTTTAGAGTCGAAATCGTGACCTTTGGGGAGAAGTTGTTACCGTATCACTTGGCAAAGGTCAGGTTGACAATGCTGAACGAATAAAACGACAAACTGGGGAACCACCAGCTGGAAGATGGCACTTCGGTCAATTCATACCTGCTAATCCGTAAGTGTAACAATTCTCGTTATCTCATTTTAATTATCTCGCTATTTTATACAGTAATCGTCAACGGCGACAAGGAAAATATCAAGAAGGCCTTGAAGGTGGAGCTGGATCTGCTGGAGGAGGCGGTAACGGTGTCTCGGGAGGCTTTGGTGCAGGATCAGAGAATGGTGGCCATGGAGGCTCAAGTGGAGGAGGTGGCAGTGGAGGAGCGGGAAGTGGAGCTGGAGGTCACGAAAGTGGAGGAGGAAGTGGTGGAAGTGCTGGCTCATCCTTCGGTGGAAGTGGAGGTGGCGGAGGAGGAACTGGTGGAGCAGGATATGGCGGAGGAGGTCATGCAGGAGGAGCGAGTAGTGGAGGAGGAAGTGGCGGAGGAGGCCACGGTGGAGTTTCCGGCTTTGGTGGCTCTGGAGGAGGAGGTGGAGGAGTAAGTGTCGCGAGAACGTTTTTGTATCTAATTCTCATTACCTAATTTCAGTCACTTGAAGAGTGCTGCGGATGTCAAACCGGTCCACCAGGACCACCAGGTGATCCTGGACCGGACGGAGATGACGGCAAGGACGGACAACCAGGAACTGATGGCGCACCTGGGCAAGGTAATGAACAAACCAGCCTGTCTTGCATTCATTGAGTTGGAATAATTTAGATGCATCCGACAATTACCAAGCCCCAACCGCTCCTTGCATTCGCGAATGCCCACCCGGACCACCAGGGTCACCCGGTGCTCCTGGAGAGAAGGGACCCCGTGGTTATCCAGGAGAAATCGGAGAGCCCGGCACACCCGGCAGACCAGGAGAGAAGGGACCTGCTGGAAAGGCAGGACCGCCCGGACCTCCCGGTTATCCAGGACGACCAGGAGAGAAGGTGAGGTGTTTGAATTTTGTCTCTCTAAAAAGTATAAACGTAATTCTTGCAGGGAGAAAACGGAAAAAGCTTGTTGGGAGAGGCGCCAGCAGGAGCTCCCGGACGACCTGGAGAGATGGGACCAGCTGGACCACCCGGACCTCCGGGAGCCAAAGGAAAGCCTGGTGAGCCTGGACCACAAGGACCTCCAGGAGATCAAGGAAATCCAGGTTGGAGAAACCAAACTTAGAAAAACACCAAGTCCATTATAGCAGAAGCAAAAAAAGTTTACTTCAGGACCATACGGTAAACCAGGAGCACCCGGACCACCTGGACCCGATGGACACTCAGGAGAACGCGGAAGCTGCGAACATTGCCCTCCACCCAGGACACCACCTGGCTATTAATTTCCCGCATTTCTTATCTGCCATATTTTCTTTGTTATGTCCCCTCTGGTCTCGCAGGTTCGCGAACCGTTTTACTATGTCTTTCTAGGCTCATTTCACAAAGACTGGTTAAACACTTGTAAATTAGGTTCTTACCTTACTTCTGACATTATGCTCTCATGACGGTGAAATTATTTATTAATATCATCAACTTCAATATAAATGTAACAAGTAAATGTATTGCTGCATAAACGTTGTGCCTATTTTACGCAGTTGCTGCTTTGTTGATATACTCCTTGAACTCTGAAATCAAGAGGATCGCAATTAGTGAGTTAATAGCATTTATAGCAGAAAGTGTTCAAACCTGAAAATGAAATTAAAGATGGCACAAAGTAGAAAAAAAACTCAAAAAACTAGGAAGCAAGTCAAACGCTTCGACAAAGAGATTATCCAGATTGTAATGATTTTTAGTTTAGTTTTTTTTTTTGAAGACAAGCGGATATGTATTGTCATGGTGCCCCTTCTTGACCACGCCTTTTCATTCAAATATTTTTGCAGCTCTTCCAAAAATAATCTGACCGACGCTGAGTATTAAAGGCGTACGCATGACCAAACTTTCCGCTTGCCTTGGCAAGAACCACAAATCATTACTTCCGCATAATCTCTTATTGGACGCCAGAACCACACTCCAGAATTTTTGTGGTGCTTTTCAGATTTTTGCCCGTTTACTGTTGTAAATTTCCGAAAAAAAGGGGTGTGGCGGTAACCGAGAAACCAAAAATTTCTTACAAGACTGTAGAGGCACGTATATCGGCGAGACGGGGCGCCCTCTATGTACGCGCATCAAGGAACATCTAGACGGTCTTAAAAAATCGAACCCGGCAACCCCACTGGGCATGCACCGCAGGCAATTTCATAATGACGCGGACATAAGTGTAGAGGTCACGATCTTAGCACGCGAGTCCGAAATCCTGGCGCGCAAGACGTTAGAGGCATTTTGGATTGCCGCCAAAATTCCAAATTTGAATAGGAAGGATGAGTGCATAGCCATCACTAATGAGATGGCCGCTTATCAGAGCCTTTGCGGGTTCTGAGGTCAATTTGAGGCCAAGCCACTGGGTATAAATAGAAGTTAGAGCTCAGTAACTGGTATACGGTCTGCTGCCAAGCAGTCATCAGCTGTTTTAGGTGAGCACTGGTCTAATTCTGTATTTACTTTCTTAGCTCTCGGTTTGCTGACGCATTGGACGTCTTTTCTGAGTCTTGATGCGGTTTTTGACAGGATAGATTACTCATGCATTCGACGATTTCAGACTCTGAAGAAGGCGATTTTGCCGAAACGTCAGTCGAATAAAGCAATTACTAATCTCGGTGTCAAGCTCAAGCAGTTCTCAAAGCAATTTCTTACAAGACTGTTTTAAATTTTTGACTTTTTGCAAGATTAATCAAATTGTTCATTAGTGACTAATTCCATAATTTTATAGATATGTAGGCTGCAAGAATTTCGCGACCTCTGCATACCTGTGGCGTCCCAGGATTTTGGACCAGGGGAGGGGAGGCAAAAATTTTTTTTCAAATTAAGTTGGTGGCGTTAGCCACGCACTCCGAAAAAATTTTTGGAATGCTCCCCAACATTTTTGCGGGGACCCAATTTTTTTGGGGGGGGGGGGCGCCAGCCACGCCCCCGAGAAAATTTTTTTACAAGGCTAATTTGAATTTTCGAAAAATTTTAAAAATTATTCTAATTATTTACAAGAATAAACAAGTCACTTGCACATTTTTATAACCCTTGTAAGTAAATTTCAAACATTTCGCGACCCATTCTCGGGGGAGGCCCCCCCCGCTCGATCCGGATTGTTCTAAAGCTACAGAAGCTCTGACGTCAACATGAAACATGGAACATTCTTTCAAGTGCAATTTTTGTATCGCCTATGTAGAAACGCCTCAGATAAGAAGTGTCCCAATACAAATTGATTCAAATCCAAGGATTTTGCCAAATATCGCAAAATTTTGGTTGTTTTTCCCTGCTAGGCTTGGCAAAAGTTTGTGTACTGCGCGCAGACTTGTAATTCAATCTTTGGAGTTGGATGAAACAGTGTGACAGTGGCGAACCTCTTGTTAGCAAATAGTAGATTTTTCTCAAAGCATTTTTGCTCACCATCGAAAGTGATCTTCATGTCTCCATCCTTGTCTGCTGATTTGATCATATTGATGAGAAATCTGAGATGAGTCTTAAATGCGGGGTCCTTTTTGTCATCCTGGAATGTACAATTCTCAGAGAGTAAGCTACAGTATGACTACAGTATGTATGGACCTTGTCTGCAGCAAGCAACATGACCATAACGTCATCTTTGCTGATAAAGCCTGACATATCCTTATCGTGGCTGCGGAACATCTCGCGGAGTTCTTGTTCTAAATTTTGTCACATTTAGAACTTTAGGAGAACAGAAGGAAAGTTCTGCGAAAAGGTTTTTTTTTTCTCATTTGGTGTTGGTTTTTTACCGAAACTCAAACAATTCAAAAAATCTCAAGCTTCTTTTATTGATTTTTTTCTAAGAGTTCCCCTGTCTCTCTCATAATACTTTGCTCAGTTCTCTGTGTAGTCGCTAGCCCTACCCAATCCATCCATCAAATCGCATTTTGCAAGCATCGCGCACTTCTGCAATGTCAATAGCCCCAAACAGAAAGCGAAGTGGCGAAGAAAACATAGGCTAAAGTGCTGCGCTTAACGGACAATCGAACTTGGGGGTTTGGAATGAAAGAGATGCGGAAATCGTGCACATAGTAAAAAGTAAGTGTTTGCACACATAATTTATTTGGACACACACAAAAAGCTGTAAAACAAGATCAGTTTTGATGCTCAAGAAAAGCGTTTTCGTAGAATCATACATCAATCTAGGGAAATACATTGTTACTTAGTATCGGATGTTCGCGTGATTTGCTCTGCCGATTCCACATAACTTTTATTTCACAAAATGTAACGCATGGGCATGGAGCGTTTATAAAAGCATTTTGCTTGGAAAGTGCGCTCTAGGGCCATATTTTACGCGCAAATGTTGTTGGCACTATAGACATAGTAGTATTTCCTCGCAATAATGCTGCAGGCATCGTAAGATCTACATCAACAATTGAATCTATTGAACGATACTGAGGAATCCACCAGTTTTCATCCTAAAACATTCCAAGAAAGATTGTCTAACTTTTTGAACGCATTTCTTCTCTTCCCTGCAGGTTCAAGGGGAAGAAATGTGCACGTAACTTCTAGAATAAAAAAGAGATTATTGCTTGTTGATTGTGCACAGTCCTGTTTTCGACCCTAATGCTTGTCCTACTATTTTCGCAGAAGATTTACAGACTATGCCTATTGGTGAGAACCTTCGAAAATAAGTTACTAGATGGCGTTCGATGACAGTGCAATTCCTTCAACATTGTTTACTCAGTGTACAACAAGCTATGACTAAGCTCTGTTCACCTCGTTTGCTGTAGAAATAAACTTCGAATTACAAAAGAGATAGACGATTTTTGAAAAAAGCTGGCAGTCGGTTCAAAAACAGTCCTCAAATCAAATCAACTCAAATCAGTGTTTTAATCCATCTGATATGAAGTTTCGCCATTCTATATGCCCAAAATGTGGTAAAAAGTAATAAATCTTTGCCCCTCCCTCTCATTCTATTAGAATAATTTTTTTAGCTCAACATATGTATATTACATCAGCATTAGTACTAATCAGCAAGACATGCTGATATTTTTCAACTTGAATTACCCAAAAATCTAGCTTATAGGGCCTTCTGACAGATAAATTCGTTCAAAGGTAAAACCAGTACAGATAAGGCTGCTGCGGACTCAATTGACAATGTTTTAGGGTATCTATAGTGAAAAAAGGAGTTATAGGTTGGATTTAACTCCGGACGGACTTAGCTGGATCATAAAAACGGTTTTATATGTCAGAATTTCCCTTAGCTGCAAAAATTTACTTTCAAGTTCCTTTAGGTGGAGAGATTAAACTTTTCACTGTTTATAAGACTTCTGTAGTATTTTACAGTCTTTACTTCATTTCTTTGAATACCTGGAATCCCTAATGTAGCTAGCAATGTCTAGTTAAATTTGCCGTCTACAGCAATCTCACGCACTCTACGATGCTATTATTTTTACGCAAAAAGATCAGCCTTTTGAATTTAAAACAGTCTATTTTGGAAGGACCAGAGTATATCCTATGCTAAGCAGTTAAAGATACCCGCTCTGAGATACCTTACCGTAAGGTTAGTGATAATCTGATCAAAGAATATCTGACCTGATCTTTTGAAACTAGAAGCCACTCACCCCATGAAGCCATCTCTGTCGAATTACAGTGGAAGACTGAGCACCCAATCGTTGCGGAGTCGAGGAGCGGAGGGCGAGACAAATATTGTCTTTCGCAGCAAGCAACAGTCTGTGTCTCCTGTGTAAAGAATTGGCTCACGCGAGCCACTTCAGGTACTACACTGCTAATCTCTTTAGCAGCATGAAGAAGGCACGTTGAGACTCTGGTGACTGCTACGTACCGTTACAGTAAATAGAAAACAGTGTAAATGACTCTTTTTTGGGTTTATAAATCATAGGGCAATCCACCTTCCTTGTTTTGTATAAACATTGCAAGTGAGTATCTCACCACCGTTTAGCTTCTTTTTGAAACAATATAGTCTGGTAAGAAGATTCCCGGAGATTGCATCTCGGAAAAGTTTTTGTTCCGACATGAGTGCTAAGTGGGACATGCTGCACAGAGTTGAATAGAAGAAAACAATCGCTATAACTTTGCTTTCACTTTTGCTGTGTCATACAAGTTTGTTGGGTATATTTATTTATTTGAATCGGCATAGCGTTTCTACAGCTTTGTCGTCCTCAGAGGCCTAAAAAGGCTCAAAGCGTTATTTACAACACCAGCCCACCAGATATCTCCTCCAGCCCACCTAGTCTCGGCCGCAGAGATGAGCGCACTTTTGATACCACCACTGTTCGAGACGTCCGCACTGGAAGTGACAGAAATTGGCTGGCAAATGAGCAATATAGTAGAAGACCAAAAAATTCCATCTACTATCAGATCTCGCACAATGATACATACGGCAGGAAGCCGGCAGTAACGGATGGACAAGCACTTGTTCTTGTTCATTTCTGGGCTCTTTTCAGAGATCAGGAAGCTTCCAGTGCTTTTTGAGCCGAGGTCTCTTGTTTATGCGTTAAAATCATGCATTTGAGCCAAAAGTCATTTCCACTATGCAACTCTTTCCTATGTCTCCCTAGAGAAGTCACTAGGCTTTTGCGTCTCTTACTTCCTAAATGCTCTTTTACGCGTACGCTCAGCGCCCTGCTAGTTCCACCAATATATAGCGCGCAGCAATCAAGGCATTCAATCTGGTACACAACTCCAATTTTTGCGCAATCTCCCTTTTCGCCGTACGAGCTTACTACACACTGCTCGGTTATACATTGTCGGTCGTAGAAACAATTTCGCACAAGCTGCTTCTTGATGTACTCGTTTGTATGCTGACTAAAACGACATCATCAAGTATAGTCGTCCTCTTTTCCACTAGTCGGTCGGTGGTCGAATTTGAAATTGAACTCATACCTTCGATAGTCAAGAGACAGAGGCTAGAAAGTGATAGTTGTTTGAGTTCTTGCCCTCTATAAAAAGTGAAGGTTGTTTCAGAAAAATAGACGAAATAGAGATACAAATTAAATTAGAAAACAATTCATATAAAGCAGAGGTTAGCACATCACCAAATCTGAAACCTTAACTTGGTGGTTTCCTACGCAGAGTTTCGTCTCCAGGATTGCTGGTTAAATTGGGTGGCAACAACAACAAAGTTCTTTTCCACTCAAAAAAAGCGCTGTTTAGCTGTGGCGTTAGTTGGGAGACCGAAAGAAGAAGAAATTGTCAACAACTGAATTGAACATGTTAAACATGTCTGTAAAGTTGTGTTGCACATCGACGCCAATCTGATTTTTGATGCATCCTTTAAATTTTCACCCCCGCATAGTCGTTTCGTACGCTGCGACGTTGTCTGGATTCTCTCGCTCATCATTCTGAGCAAGTATCGTCCAAGCTGAAAAAAATTCGCTGCAAAAGCACAGAAAGAGAACAAGGTAAAGAAAAACGCACTTTTTTGTATTTTTTACAAAAAAACCGGCATAAGCAAAGAAGTAAGCTCGGCGACGTTGTCTACATCATGACAGAAACAAGACCTATCGAATACAAAAAAACCGAGTAAAAAAAGTTAAATTGAAGAAAAAACAAGAGGTTTTCGAAAACGCCGTTTTTCGAGGATTTCTCGTTTAAATCCTTAAAAGAAGTTCCGCGACGTTGTCAGCGTGAAAGTAGAGATCAAGAGCTTTAATATGATATATAGACTATCGAAATTGGGCTTCGAACAACGAAGAAAGGGGTACCAGAGCCAAATGCCCCGCGCCCCGCATTTGAGGTAGCGAGGTAGCGCGCAGCGCGCGGAGACGCAGACGAGCAGCGGAGACAGACCAGAGCCGACGGGGCATTTGGCTCTGGTCTTGGATCTTCGCAGAGTCTCAAAGAAACCCTGCAACATTATATATCGTTGTGATCCTCATGAGACGGCCATGAGCACTGACAACGTCGCGGGTCTTGAAAATCACTCCATGACGAGATAGACCAGCATTCATATGGCGACTCTTTGCGCAAGATTTGAGCGCAGTTTTTCGTTTTTATTGAACTCTAGCGGCTTTAATGAACTTCCAACATTCAACCGCAGTTCAGAGAAAGGTTAATTGAGAAATTTTGCCCTAGTTTTTGATTGAATTTTTTAATAAAACCTTCTTCTCAACAAAAAAGGCCATAAAAACGCAATCCTTCGGTGTTTTTGAGCTTCTTTTGAATGCCACTGCTATATTTGCCTCATTTAAATTCATCCCTATACGGTTATGTCATTAGTATGTCATAATTTCCGGGGCTTCGCCCCGGATGACTTCTGTACTTCTCCCCAGGTGAAGGTTGTGTTCTATCATGACGCTCAAAGTGAAGATTACCAGAGTACATGGCTCTATGTATCGAAGGTATGATTGCACTGAAGCAGGCCGGCCGCGGCAGAGCGCGACAGACCGCCCCTCAGCCAACCGCTTGCACATGAGCTTTTCTCTTAGTGTTTCTTTGCTGTCTCTCGTATTGCGGCAATGTTTTAATCAGATTTTCAGACTTCGTACCGCTAACTGCTAACTGTTGTTTTGTGCAGTTGTGCTCGTTTGTTTTACATTTTGCCGGGTAAACCGGGAAGAAGGATGCCGCTGAAGATTTTTGGATGAGAAATCTGTTTCGAGCGACATATACATAAATGATTTGATGAACTGTGTCAAGGTTTTCGTTAGAATGTGTACTCTAAACTTTTTTTGCGATAGGGCTGAAATTCTCTCAGAAAGTGTTTGTTTCAAAGAGTTAGCGATACGAAACCGGAAAATCTGATTAAGAACATTGCCGCAACACAGCTGCGATAAGGTGAGAATGACTCCTCCAGGGTGAAGGGGGTCACAGTGATCGCAGCCCCTTCAGGGTGAAGGGTGTTTCACTTGGTAGAGGAATTATAAAACGACGGGGAGGGGGGAAGCCATGGTGTTTTCTCATCATTTTTCCTAGTCAAAGTTCATAATTTATTCCTTACCATCACTAGTTATCTTTTCTCTGAAATGTGGACCGATGTGTTGCTGGATTAGCACACAATTATACATATTTCTGACCAGCACCTTGTATTTTTTAACATTTCCTTTCCTTTTTTACATCACCCTGCCTGTTTTTGGAATCACCATAGAAATGTGCATGCGAGAAGATTTGTTTCGGAAAGAGTTAGACAATTTTTAAATATTTACGAATTTTTTTAAAAAAGAAATTCGTAAATGAACAGCAACGTCAGCAACGAAATGTTTTCAAAACCATCATGTCTTTCGCTTTTAGAGAATATATAGTTTGCCTGGAGTCTGTTGAAAAAGTGCCTGTTAAAGAGTGTGGGTAGCGATTTGTGGATACTTACGAGTTTTTAGGATAGAAAAATCCTAACTTCTGCAGATGAACATCTTGTACGCCGCGATGCTTACCATTGAAACCGTCTCGTCCTCCGCTTTCAGAAAATATATACCTAGTTTGGGGTCCTTCAGAAAAAGTGCGGGTGAAGGGTGGGTGAGACTTTTATAATGGGAGTGCTCAAGTACAGGCTTTTTAACATTGTAAAAAGACGTCTACTTGAGCACCCCCATTATAAATATCTCACCCACCCTTCATCCTGCACTTTTCCTAACGGTCTCTAGGCAAAGTATATATTTTCTGAAAGCAGAGGACGAGACGGTTCCAACGGTGGCTATCATGGCGTACAAGATGTTTATCCACAAAAGTTATGAATTTTTTTATGTTAAAAACTCGAAATTTCCCAAAAATCACTGGGCACACCCTTCACCGCACTTTCTCGAACAAATATCAGATATGCTATATGCTTTCTGAAAGCGGAGAACGATACGGTTCCAATACTTATGGATGTGCCGCCACTCTCTTAATGGCAGATACCATACTAGATCATAACTTAGCCTCGGATATGTCCAAAAACACTTTCCAACATACGCGTTTATCGTTATAGCACCAAAATAACAATGATATCGATATCCCGATAAAACAAACAACAACAAAGCACAAGAATAAAGAGATCTGAGCCCATAGACGAGGTGGCTCGTTGGTCGTCGGTTCCTCACTGTCTTCAAACCGCTCCTCCCTCCTTATCTTGTGGCATCTGGCGAGCGACGGCGCGGAGCAATCTGTAAACAAAGTATATGGGAATCGTAGATGATGGCAACATTACATGATTGAGGGGACTTATTAGGAGAAAGCAAAAGAATAAACTGTGAGTATAAGTATCTTACCTGATAGATATAACCGTAAATACCATTTACACAATGGTGACCATCTCGTCGTGAAATATATTCATCTACAAAAGTTATGAATTTATTTATGTTGAAAACTCCAAAATGTCCAGAAATCACTACTCACACCCGTCACCAAGCACTTTTTTCAACAGACTCCTCCATTCCTGTAACTAAACAATTCACGTACATATATCTCTTTTGCTTAACTTCACCTCATTGTTGACTTTTTTCTCGGCTTTTGGTGAAGGGGGTCACCTTGGTATAGGCTCAGGGGTGAAGAGGGGGTGAGAAAATTCTCACACTATCACCTATGTGCCGCAATACGAGAGACAGCAAAGAAACACGGAAGAAATAAGAAAAAAGCTCGTGCAAGTTGGCTGAAGGGCGCTTCTGTCGCGCTCTGCCACGGTCGGCCTGCTCCAGTTCGTATTCAAATTCGACCACCGACCGACTAGTGGGGTGAGGACGGCTATAGCTGCGCCCGAGCGATGCACTGGCGAAAGGCAGAGGCGATTTTGTCAGATATAAATGGCAAACATAGTGGAAGTTTGTTGGTATTCTGAATGCGATCACCGTGTGTTGGATGCCTTCGCGTAGATACAGAATAATCATTATTGCAAGCTATTTGTGAGACCAAGTGTTGCGCTTCGCGGCGTTCATCCCCTCCGGAGCATACCAATGCCGCCGTTTCAAATATGTTTTCGTTTACAGCGCGTTTGATGTACAGGGCTTTTCAACATAAGATCACAGCCTCCGCTTGCGCGGCTCCTCCAAAGCGGCCGCCAAGGCTTAGGTCGCGCGCGGCGTTTGCGGCGCATCGTGCGGGCATTTTGCCAAGCTTCAGTCGATGCGCCGCCTTGTGCATTCGTCGGCGGCATTGATTGAGACCTGACAAAATGCCCGGACGATGCGCCACGAACGCTGCGCGGACCTAAGCATTGCGGCCGAGCGGGGCGGCTGTGACACTCAGGTTGTAGAGCCCTGTACATAAGATGTGCGAGTTGACGTTTAAGTACGTTTAACTGTCCTTACGATACCATTTCATTTTTTGTTTGTTTCGAAGAGGATGGATGCCGTGAAGCGCGACGCTTGGCCTCGCAAATAGCTCGCAGTGATGTTTATTCAGTATCTACGCGAAGGCATATCCCACACACGGTGATCAGATTCAGAACACCAACAAACTCAAACTATGCCATTTATATATAACAAAATCGCCTCTGTCTTTCGCCAATGCATTGCCCGCGCGCAGCTACTTGATGACGTCGTTTTAGTAAGCATACCAAACGAGAACCTCAAGAAGCAGCTTGTGCGAAATCGTCTTACGACCGACAATGTATAACGAGCATATAATACGCCCATATGGCAAGAAGAGAGATTGCACAAAAGTTGGAGTTGTGTACCAGATTGAATGCCTTGATTGCTGCCCGCAACATATTGGTGAGACTAGCAGGGCGCTGAGCGTACGCGTAAAAGAGCATTTAGGAAGTAAGAGACGAAAGAGCCTAGTGAGACATAGGAATGAGTCGCACGGTGGAAATGACTTTAGGGTCAAATATACGATTTTAACGCATAAACAAGAGATGTACCACCTAACAGACCTGTACGGCATGGCAAAAATGAAAACTATATCCGATGCCAGGTTTGAACATAATGGAACTTGGAAATTAATCGCTATAATATTGAGGTAAGCACGAGCAGTATCAGTGTTGCCTGCTTAAATACAAGTGAAAACTCCAAAATAGATTTTGGCCTAATACAAATCTCCAACTTTCATAAAAGTGAAGACATCACATGATTTGTTTACAACATAGTCCCAACAGGTCCTCAACAGGTCCTCAGTAGTGAAGTAGTGCAATTGGTGTGCAATACACATATTAATTTGCAAATAACTCGACGATAAGTGAAGAGTTTTGAATTCCGTCTCATCAGAGTTCCACCGAAACAGTTTTGATTTCCAGAGGTACTTAGTCAGTATTATAAAGTCGTTGACCGGCACTGACTGTATCGTTCCAGACTTAACGTTCAAAGCGTGTCGGCCGCCGCTGCCGAGCATTGGCACTATGACGATTAAGGGGTGGGGGACATTAGGTCGCCGAAAAAGGGCGGTCCCCGCGGTCATTTGCGACAATTACGCACCCTTGTACATGCGCGGACATGCGTTCCTGCAGGGAATCCGCGCGGGACTCTTCCAAATTCGGCGACCTAATGTCCTCCACCCACGATTAAGCGCGCTGGCTAAGCATTACCGCCAATCCTGGGCCGCCGCGCGACAGTCACGGGTGTTCAGTCTAGGGCGACACGGTCACTTTTAGCTAGACTTTGGTCGTAGGCAATTGCCTGCGATGACTCATATATCCAACTGCAAATGGGCCAGGCACAGGCCATAGTATGGTGAGGCAAACTTTGCGTGACGCATAAATTGGATTAGGCTGAACAATATAAGCCCTGCGCAATTCTTGGCGTGCGCAAGAGTAGGCTTAGCTTCACTTTGAGCTTTGCATGTTCTGTCGCGTCGAACTCCGTGCACGCACTCTTAGTCCCCAATATCTTAATAGCCCGTCTCTTAATCAATTTTTTTATAGTTTTTGACAAGATATCACGAGTGTGGTTAGCGTAACTGCAGCGTAGTAGCTCGACATCTGTGTGCTACATGTTAGTGGGATCCATGCTCATCTACCGTCTGTTCCAGTACTATCAGCCAATTGGAGTGATGCGCATCCGCATCGCCACGATCTTGCGTCACGGCTACTACGCCTTGCTTGTCTGCTCCCTCTTCAATCTCTTCGCTCTCTCCGACAGCGCGCATGCAGCGCAAACTTCTGATGTTGCGAGCGCACAACTACGCCAACGTTTGGGAACGGCCATAGGTTGTCGGTGTTGTTGGTGTTGTCGGTGTTGTCGATGTTGTCGGTGTTGTCGATGTTGTCGATGTTGTCGGTGTTGTCGGTGTTGTCGATGTTGTCGGCGTTGTCGGGGTCAGAGACAGTTTGGAAGGGGCGCGAAACGTGGAGGCTATCATGAGGTCCTACAACGACCAGCAACCTCGGCAACCCCGATAACACCGGCAACACCGACAACATCGACAACACCGACAATATTGACAACACCGACAACACCGATAACACCGACAACACCGACAACCTATGGCCGCTCACTTTAGTCTGTTCCAGTTGAGACAGTCTGTAGACATTTTATGCTTGCTTCAGCGCTGTTTCGTTACCCAGCCTGATTTCTTTTGCCCAGGCAGTTTTTTAGTTCAAAATGAAAGGACGCGTCCACGGAACGGATGTTTGTGAGCTCGCGAATTGCCTTACCTACGTCCAGGTAAACATCTACAACACCGACATTTTAACTTTGAAAGAACATGGCTTCGACATTGAGGATTGGCTTGTGAGTATCGGAAACATCTTTTGTTACTTTTTCAAACGTGCCGTTCAGAGGGACACAGGCTACCGTTCTATCATAATGGACGTGCCAGTTCTTAATTCTTTGAATGAGTCTGCAGGCGAGATTGTGGCCAGACGCAGACATGATGCGGAGAAAAAATTACAAAGGGTGAGCTTGTAACCATTCAACCTTTTCTTGATTCTACTGCGACTTACCAAATTGTTCACTTGTTATAAGGCCCCGGACAGACTTCACGCGATTGGGTAGGGGAGCGAAAGCCGCCAGGTTCGGTCGCCTGCGCGGACTGCTGGTCCTGGAACGACATGCAACAACGTTGCGAAAGGACCAGTTAGCCGCGAAAGGCGGCTCAAACTGGCGGCTTTCGTTCCCCTACCCCACGCGATTTGATCGTCGCGACTGAATCGCGACGAGACAACTGTTACAACATCATTCCATGCCGATCAACTTGCATTTCGGTTGTGATACTTTTCCAGCCCGAAATTTTTGAATGTGGGAAATGAATGGAAATTTCGGCGATTGAGTCGCGACGACCAAATCGCGTGAAGTCTGTCCGGGGCCTAAGTGGTTCGTTGACGTTAAATATGAGGCGTTATAGCCGAAATACTCGAAATATGTATGCTGTAATACCTATCTATACAGGGTGTCCCAAAAAGATGTGCACACTGTTTGATTGTTAATAACTTTCTTGCTTTCATGTCTTTTGCCGAGCTTAAGGTACCATTCTGTAGAGCGAAAATAAACTTAGATTTACAGTATGGAGGGACTTACCAGCCGCTTTTCATTACTGTAGAATTACGGTAGGTTTCGAGAAGGATTTTCAGCAATGGAAAGCTGTATTTTGCTTCAGAAAAAAGCCAAATAAGCCAGAAACTCTTGAACTGGGTTAATCATAGTCGCTGATTCTAGATATGAAAACTGCACATCAGTACAATGTTTCTTTCATGAGTTAATTCAGATTTAGGGTAACAACTGATTTTCCAGTGTTCAGCAAAAATGTGAATACGCCATCAAGAAAGCTCAAAAAACTGATGAAAAGTTATGTAGTGAAATCAGCACGCCTGAAAACCTTGCTACACAATTTTTTAGATTTTTTTGAAATTATTTCAGCAAAAGGCTTATCCCACAGTGATGCTGCATGCTGAAAGTTCATACCGTAATCCTACAGTAGCAAAAAGAGATTGGAGTTTCGCTTAATACTGTAAATCTAAGTTAATCCTCGCTCTACAAAATGATACTTCAAGCTCGGCAAAAGACATGAAAGCAAGAGAGTTATTAACGATCAAACAGTGTGCACATCTTTTTGGGACACTCTGTACATGTGCGAGTTGTGATTCTTGTCATGTCAGGCTTTTGATAGAGCAAGAACAAGTTTTACCTTGTTTGAGATGTGGCAGTCTAAACCCTTATCATTTAATTTAGATGATGTGTATTCTCACTTGCAGGGAAAGATGGTCGTCCATACTCCTGACTTACACGATGATGTTCTCACACCTAAATCGTCCTCAAAGCCTCCAAATGTATGTGAATTTGAAGCTTCTTTGTCATTGACAATGTCGTCAACTAGGAGCGGCTCGTATCGCTCGGCCGTCCCTCTTTTGGGCTTGCACCGCATTCGCTAAAGTGTCCTATGAATTTTCTCACGCCCAGTCAACGTGAAGCTTGACTCTGTCTCCTTCCACGCTCAAGTGTGAGTAAATCATAGAACGACACGTTGGCGAATGCGGCGCAGAAAGCAGGCGAGGCGGCCGCGCGGGACCTAAGCTGCTAACGCACCCGACAGTGCGGTTGTGATAGGCTGTATTCTATCGTTAGAGCGTACAACAGCACCCGCGTCCGTCTTAAGCGTTAGCGTTAGCGTTTACCTATGTATGTCGCTGAGAAACAATTACAGCTTGTCCCGGCTGCTTGTAGAATTGCGAGCAGCCGGGACAACCTATAATTTTTGGAATTGCGTACTCTCAGAACATGTCTCGCTTTATTGATGCACTCTTTGCTCTTTCATCCATTCACCTTTGCATGGCGCAGTTGCTCTCTGTGCGTAACCTGCAGCCTATCACAGTAGATATAGAGCATTTACTAGCTCGATATATAATTGCTTTTAAGACCCTTAGACATGCTCTAGCGAAAGGAAATGGAGAGATCTCAGAAGATGAAACACTTTACGAGGATTGCAAGCTGTTGTCAGGAGAGGAACCGCATATTGATACTGCAATAGGAGAAACTACATCAATGGGTTGTGCCAAAGACCGTCATAGTAATTCTACCCTCCACCACAGCATCCCAACATTGGAGAGGCCTACGATTACCCGGAATAATGGTGTAGATGAAGAAATGTCAGGACTCGTAAGCGCTACCGCTGGACACAGAGCAGACGATTTGATGAGCGATGACACTTCTTATGTTATCACCGAACTGCGTCCCCCTATCGCACCACTGAACATCAAAAGCTCGGAAACCATCGAACAAAACAACACTGCATCCAATATAGCAGCTATAAGCCCATCAGAATCTCGTAGTATAAATGCTGATAGTTCTATAGTGCATGACACTGGAAACGAAGCCGAAATGTCACCAAAGGTAGGCTCTCGTCATGAACAAATGCTGAAAATAAAAGAAATATTTAGGTGAACGCTCCTGCAAGAAAAGGCAGATGGAAGAATCACCAGTTATCGCCTTTTGTAAGGACCTTTGAGTGCCACTACCCGGTATGCCTTCAGGCGGCCATCTTCACGCGTGTCATCAGTGTTACCAGTTTATTGTGTTACTAGTGTTGGTAGTTTACCAGTGTTACCAGGGTTATCCGGGAGACCAATATAGCCGGTGTTACTAGCGCTACTAGTGTTACTAGTGTTACCGTCTTTACCGGTGTTGTATGATGAAATGATGACTACGACTGCCTCATTTCTTCGAACGGAATCTTTGCGACTGCTGACATCTCGTTTGAAGAAAGGTGCCCTTAGCGTCACAAATAAAACTGGTAATACGAATAACTGGTAACACGGGTATACTGGTAATATTGGTATCACGGGTAAGTATGGCCGAAGCCCTACCACTAGACTGGTTGAAGATTCACTGTGTATCACATCAGGCGTGTACCACCAAAATCATATGGCGTCCAGGATATGGTAAGAATCGCTTGGTCACTCATGTAAGAATTCACTGGGGAAAGAAGCTGAAGAAGTGCAGGCATTGCGATTACTCGGCTACACACTGGGGCGGGGTACAGTCTATCGAATTATTTTATTCGCATTTATTTTGATTATTTGCTATCTGACAATTTTTTACGAATAATCGTGGACCTAATGTAGCAACTTTCACAAGTATTGTACTATCAAGCTGGGTTAATTTCAGATTTATCAACATCACCAACGCAAACATCCAGATGAGGAATTTGCCGGTGCCATCGATCTTGAGTGCGTTTGATATTGTAATATTGGTTTGTTGCGATCTCATCTGTGACATTGATATTTGCCAGGACAGAGGAAGATATGAGAGAGCTGATGGAACTTTGGAGGCAATGTTATCCAGGTAAATTTTGGCTATCATTTTTATTACAATTTGTTGCTCTTTAATATGTTCAACTATTGAAAAAAAAAAACTTGATGCTCTATTTTGCATCACATTGAGCTCTACCTTGGCAACGATATGCACGTACCATCCCTATATACTAGCATTTGATTGCTAAATATAGAAATTGACAACGTCGTGGCCTGGCAACAACGTCTTATTTTTCCATAGAATATCGGCTGTAAGGTGGGACATTCTTCAATCAAATAAATTCTCATCGCTCTTTCATAGAGAAGAAGTGAGAAATTGAGCTGAAGTGAGAAGTAAGACTTTGATAAATATTTGTACTAGTGATGCATTTTGAATGCGTCATTAAGTTTCTAATTTCTTCTAAGGCCTCGGGCAGAGTTCACGCGATTCCATCGTCGCGATTCATCGCTACAAGACAAGGGTTACGAGTCCATGCGAGTCGATCTTCTTTTATCTCAGTTGTGATAGTCATTCACAATTAGTCATGTTAGAAAACTATCACAGCCGAAACGCAAGAAGATCGACATGCAGTGATATTGTTACAGTTGTTTTGACGCGATCAGTTTCGACGATGAAAACGCGTAAACTCTGCCTGAGGCCTAAGGGGTTCCTCATGTTTGCAAACATCCAAATATCGTTGTCTATCTCCTTCTGCTAGTCGTCAACTTCATTGTTTTAGGTACACAACCATCCATCGTCATTTCTATTGCAAAGCGTCTACATTTGAAACTTAGCTAAGTCGCAGTACACACCGCCAGCCATCTATTTTTTGCTGTCAGCCGTGTTCAGGTGCTGTTGAAGAAGAATTTTGTGACCGTAAGCTGGCACGTATCACACGCGCAAGCCGTTTTCTACATAGCTGTCATAATGTTTAGAGCATATGTATTTTGTTTGTTTGTCGTCAACTTATAGTAAATTGTTCTTGTATATCTTATGCTACTTTGTGCCTGTAAAATTTGTGTCTTTGTCCTAGTAAGTTTCTGTAGTCCACCAAGTGCTGAATAATTAAGAAATCTATGTTGATGCGCTGTATCTCGTTTGCTGTGTTTTTATTCAGGTGGTCATCAAATAATATGTATTTAGTGTTTTATAGCGTAATAGAAGTATGAAAATTTTTTGAGGAGATTCGTTGTGTAAACCTCTGCGACTTTCTGGCTGGATTCATATTGGTCCGTCAGTTCTGGAACAGTCCCAGCACAGCGCACAGTTTGAGTGCTGTGCTGGAACTGTTCCGCAACTTACGGATCAGTGTGAACCCAACCTGTGGTGTATCTCCAAAATCTGTATCAAGCATGACACTACTAGATAAATTTGGAACTTAAATGCTGGAAGTCGGAAACTCATACAAATGCAACTAGATACCAGCATTCAGTAACTTTCCAGTCCGATTCCGGAGTTGAAAACGTTGGACAGCCAGTGAGACAAAGCCTTTGTCTACTATTTTTTGAAGACCTGTCTAGCACTAATGTAAGCAGAAGTTCTAAGTTGGTGCAGTTGGGGAAATTGTACCTTTTCATAGTCTTCGCAACAAGCTCTGCTGTAGACCTTATTGTTATTATACGCACGAAATGGGATGAGTTACAGGAGTTATATAATTAAGTTAATGATAATAAGGTATATTTTCTCTACAGCGTAGAGATAATAAATAGTGAAAAATGGCTTTTGAAATACAAAAACACTGTACTGGAGACTTGGCGAACGAATTCCTTACTGGACGTCTAATTTTCTTGATTGTCTACTAGCGCATTGGAGAGGATTCAGAAATTTGCATTGGGCTGACGAAATGACAGACTGGTAATGGAATGATATCGGGTCACCCTGTCTATAGTAGTTTTTTTTTTCAAAAACTCAGTTTTGGGAGACTACAGTTGCAGCGGTAGAATTTGTCCAAAATTGCGGGAATGTCGGGATTCGCGGGACTGCCGGGATTCGCGGGATTCGCGACTTCACGGGATTCGCGGGATTTGCGGGAATAGCGGGATTTAGCTATAACTTCTTTTAAAACCACTTTATTTGCAATCTGCATGTAGATTTGGCTTCAGCTTGATGAGACGAATCTTTTGACATACAGTATGTCCGTAATTTATGGTGAGACGGTAGACATGTGTTGATATCTTGTTATTTTCTACCAGTGCGTCACCCCTGCTTCGCAGAGGCTCGCACTGGCCCTATGCTCTGTATGCCTTACTCATTCCCGCATAATAATGACATTGAAACTCACCGCGCTATGTAGGCTATCACGAATAATTCGTAAACAACTACTCATTCGTAGAGGTCTTCCATGTGAGATCGGTATTTTCGCGTGGATAAAATCTTTCCCATAAGAACAGATGCAAATTCGAATGGGCTTTTGGAATTTTTATGGCTTGGTAGTCGCCGTAAGGACAATAGACATAGTGGGCTACACCTCTGTGCAAAATTCTTCTCAAATAATCAGGTAAAATCTTGAATATTTGACCGTTTACACAGCGAATGCTTTTTGGCGCTGTTTTCGTAAAGTAGTAGACTTTTCATGACTTTTTTAGGCTAACGTCCATGGCTTGCACATTAGCTTGTCGAATATATCCTTAACTCTGCAAAAAGTAGTACTACGGACCCAAATTTGCTGGCGAGAAGCCAAGTGGATCCGTTTGACGCGCAATTTTCAATGGATCCACTCAACGGATCCGCTCATGCTATTGTATATTGAGGTTTCATGCTGGTAGCGTGCGCTGTGCAAAATTTGGGCTCAGGAATTTGGCTGGAACACGCTCTACGAATTTCGTGACAGACAGAGATTCACACACACAGACAGACAAACGTAAACAACCCTTAGCCCGTTATTATAAGTTATGATGGTGAGGCTCTTGTGAACATTTATCACAGCGTAAATCGCGAATAGCAGTTTTGGTACGAAGTTCTTATTATCGAAAACTATCGCGAAAAATTGGGCAATTTTTATTTACCCTTATCACTAATATAAGCATTTTATCATTTATCACTGATAATATCACATTTTTGAATCATTTTTGGCTTATGGTAAGAAAAGTACCGAAGAAAACGCTGAGTGAATTCTATCGCTCTTTCTCTCATCATAAGTGATCTAGAGAATTTTTTAGTTCTATTGCTCGGTGCAATTGGTAGGTCCCTCGCTGCAGCAATCGATCGATTTCTCATCGGCACCTGCCATTGCTGTCAATTCTTATTTAAAATGGCATTTTTGCTTCAACTCGCTTCACGCCGAAGCCTGGGCTGAAATTCTGCACCTTCATGGAAGATGAACGTGGAAATCGACCGCATGAATTTAAGCCATTCTTGACTGTCCTTGTCCTTGATATCATTTTATCATTCATCACTGATCATGACTTATAATAACGGGCTAAGGGTGTTTATGCGACTTTGGTCTGTTACGAAATTCGTGGAGCGTGTTTCAGCTAATGTCTTGAGCCCAAATTTTGCATGGCGCAAGCTACCTTCATGAAAGTCCAACATGCAAAAGCACGAGTAGATTCGTTTAGCGGATCCCTCAGAAATTGCGCGCCAAACGGGTCCACCTGGCTTCTGTACCGCAAAAGTCGGTCCGTATCACCACTTTTTGCAGAGTCGTGGATGAGTTTGGTAAGCAAATGTACAAGCGATGGAGTTTAGCCAGAAAAGTGGTCGAAAGTTCACTACATAACGAAAACGGCGCCAAAACTGGTTGTGTAAATGGTCAATTTGCCAAGGTTCTAGCTAAGCGTTTGAGAAGATTTTCGCACAAAGGTGTAGCTCACGGTTACCATTACCTTTATGGCAACTACCAAGTTATGACAAATCCAAAAACCTATTCAAATCTGCGTTTGTCTTCCTGCGAAGAGTATCGTCCACGCGAAATCACCGATCTCACGTGAAAAGACTTTCTAAATGAGTGGTTGTTTACATTTTATTCGTGGTAGTCGGCATAGCGCGGTGAGTTTCAGTGCCACGATTTTACGAGAATGAGTAAGGCACATAGATAGTAGAGCCAGTGCGAACCTCTGCGAAGCAGGTGACGCTCTGGTGATATCATAAAATTGGATCATTTTTGACATACAGTAAGAAATGTGCTTAAGAAAATGCTGTGCGAGTTTTGTCGCTCTATCTCTTATAGTATGTAATCTACAGGCTTTTTCGGTTCATTTGCGCATTCGGTGCAGTAGATAGATCCCTCACTGCACCAATCGATTGGAAAGTTTGCGAAAATTCAAAATTCAAATTGCGAAATCGTTGATTAATTGGTCCCTCGCTGAAGTATTAAGCAACCGACACAAATCCAGTTCATTTTCGACGTCCGATAGCAGGCTGTCGTTTGTTAGGTATTGTTCTTCTTTACAACCATATCGTCATGGTAGATATGGTTATTTCGGTGCTCGTTATCTGTCGTTATGAATACATACAGTTATTCTGACTCTCTTACTCCCTAAAATGTAAACGAATTTCAGTCTGTCCAAGTAAACTTCATATTATCTTACGTTGTTCCGCGTTGTGCTGTCTGATTATTATTAATCAACTGGCTTATCCGGCTCCGCTCGGCCCTGTCAAAACATATGATAAGTTCCCATAAGTCCAATCCCCTATTCCCGCTGTGTTAGTAATCTGCATGCTCACTTAACCCCCCCCCCCATGTGCCAACTCCCAGCCCCGTAGCTCAAACTTTGCAAAAAATCGATCGGTGTTGAGTCTCTTGGGATTCCATTTGAAATCGACTATATCTGCTTTCCATAAATAAACTGGAACATAGGTTGGAAAGAATGACTCCAAAATGGCTGTCGGACTTGCGCGAAAACTCCGGACTACACAAGAATTCTGGACATTCTGAATCGTCTTCACCTGCGCATAATAATGAAAACTCTGAATCGACGTCCCCAAGACGATTTCTGGACAACCAGTTGTGAAATATGACACGTGCACCGCCTTTAAAAGTTCCTTATCCAAGTGGGATTGAAGTTCCTCTCCTCTTCATTTTAATCCAAATGTGTCTGTTGAACATGAAGCTCCTCCTCTGAGCAAGTGAAGCAAACCTATCACTGAAAAAAAAAACTTTTTCGAGATACAGGGCGGTAGAACAGGTAAGTCAAGGCTGAAACGTGATGTGCTGGTGTACTCAAGCTCTGGAACAGATGAGGATTATAAATTTTCCCACCATCGCTGTAATGCTGAACACATGCCAGGTATTCCGATATGTTTATTGCCGGAAATACGGAGCTCAAATTTTCTAATAAGGTGATCGTGTTAGGTTTCGTGAGATTCCATGAAATCGACCATATCTGCTTCCCGTGAATAAATTGGAAGATAGACTGCAAAGAATGACTCCAAAATGGCTGTCGGACTTGCGCGAAAATTCCGGACTACGCAAGAATCCTTACATGGAGCATCATGAGGATTTCCTAATGCGTGAACAAGAAGCAATTTTGTGAGATTTTTCATGGAGAATAGTAATCAGCGAGCATGTTCGCAAAGAAGAATTCAATGCATAGTACGTGTAAAAAGATGAAAGTCGATAGCATTTCCTCTTAGTCCCCTTCAATAAAGAGTCTTTGGAACTTCTCGCAAAGGTAAGGAGAATGGCCAGCGAACTTTGAAAAATTTACGTCCGCCCAAAGTCTGCCTACCGCAGCTCAGAAACAACTCTAGTGTGAGAAGCGAAGCAAATACGATGCATTTGATTACTAGTCGGATGACTCATGCATGGAGAACCTCTGACAATTCGCATCCGTTCATTTTTCTTGTACTTTCGGGAGTGGTACTCGCGTTGGAACTTCCCACGGCCTTGTCGTATACATTGAAAACCATGATTCGAGGAACTTGACTTTCAGCAGTTTGCACACCCTCTGTTTACGAGAATCGCAGTCGCAGCACATAATTGGCATTACAAGAACTGCCCATCCTCGATGTACATATGGCGTGCCTTTATAACTACGGAATCCAAACTCTCTTCAAGCTTTTTGTCACTTACATTCGCCCGATACTAGCCCGCCCGATACTGTACACCTTTGTGGTCTCCAACCAGAAACGGGATTGATACCTTGGAAAGAGATCAAAAATCATTCTCTGCACGCACATTTGCTAGAGCTGGGCTTTTCCATTTATTATATAGGTCAAGACTTTCCATCTTTTCCACTACCGCATTGAAACTTAGAAGGATAATTTATGATCTAAACCTCGTCTACAAGATAATGACTAAGAAGGTCCATCTTATGATGCATGATTTTCTTCTATCATCTAATTTCAACGCTATTACTAAAGGACATGGCTTCAGAATTATCAAAGGAAAGGCCCAAACACAACAATTTCGTGACTCCTTTCCGGTACGTGTAGTCAAAACATGGAATGAACTTCAACGGCGACCAAAATTACATTGACATTTGTGTTCAACAGAGGTTTGAAAGACCTTAAAATCTGAAGGATTCTTCTAAAAACATCTTTTACAAAACGATACAGCAACAATTCAATCAACCCATTACAGCGCAGTATTAACAGGACTCGGATCAGCGTGCACTTGTCATTTGATATTATTACCAAGTCTTCGGACAACTATTTCAAAACAAATTACCATCTAGCGTATCTGTATATTTTTCTCTGCATATTATCTTTTACTCGAGAGTTTAAGTCTTCTTTTGCATACACAAAACTCTGCTTATGGCGATTCATTTCTTTTACTTGATCCTGCCGCTTGTTCAAAAAGAAAAAAATTTATTGGGGCAAATTCAGCTAGCTTTTACCCGCAAGCTCGCTGGCATTCAAACAGTGGGAGGACACATTCACATTTCATTCCACATTATAGAATTTTGTGATTTCGTAAGCGAAAGTCACAAAATCACCGCATCAATGGTAAGAATGGATGAAAATTTTTCAAATTCTTGAGAAGAGTTCCACTATTCATCTTTCACACATGTAACAAATCTCAACTTCCAAGCTCCAGCCCGAAGCGAGTTATGGAAGTGAGATTTTAGGGGAAAAAAGCGTTGCAGTGGCATGCAGCGAGGGATCTGCTAAGGCGCTGCAGCGAACTTGCACTAGAAAAGTCTGTAAGAAAAGGACTGTACTCATCATAATGCACGGAGCTAGAAACTCCCATGACGTTTTTATGATAGTTTCCTTGCACTCGATCAAAAATTATACAAATTTGTGATTTCATAAGCGAAAAGTCATAAAATCGCCACATCAATGGTAAGAATGGATAAAAATCTTTCAAATCGTTGAGAAGAGTTCCACTATTTACCTTACACACATGTACCAAATCTCAACTTCCAAGCTCCAGCCCGAAGCAAGCTATGGGCAAAAGTGAGATTTTAGCAGAAATGCGCCGCAGTGGCATATAACGATGAGCAAGCAACCGGTGATTGCAGCGAGAGATCTGCCAACGGAACGGCACCGGATTTGTAATAGAAAAGATGTAAAGAAAAGGCTATAGTTTACATAGCATGAGATACGGAGAGATAGAATCTCGCATAATTCTTTCTATCATAATTTTCTTGCATTCTAACAGAAATATTTGAGTTGGTGATCTACCAATTGCCGAGCAGTAGAACCGGAAGAACCCGTAGCTCACTTGTTTTGAGAGATAGCGGTATAAAAAAATGAACAGCGTTTTCTTTGGTACTTTCCTTACCATACACCAAAAATGATTCGAAATTACGATATTACCAGTGAAATAATAAAATGCTTTTATCAGTGATACGAGTGGATAAAAACGGCTTATTCTCTCGCGATAGTTTTGAATAATGAAAACTTCGTACCAGAACCTGCTATTCGCAATTTACACTGTGACAGATGTTCACAACAGCCTTAACATAGAAAACAACAATGTATTATTGTAAGTCTACCCCGTCACCACGAATTACGGACATGCTGTATATCAAACGATTCGTCTCATTAAGCTGAAGGCAAATCTACACGCAGATTGCAAATAAAGTGGTTTTAAAAGAAGTTATAGCTAAATCCCGCTTATCCCGCGAATCCCGCGAATCCCGTGAAGTCGCGAATCCCGAGACTCCCACAAATCCCGGCAATCCCGCAATTTTGGACAAAATCTACCGCTGCAACTGTAATTGGACTCTTTGTGTAGATGACAACGAAGCTTTACTCCCTTAAGGCATTTTCTCGATATCTTTTACTAATCACGAATGTTCACACGCCATTTGTAAAGTGCTTATCTTTTCACAGATCTAACAACACAAAGAGGGTGGAAGCATAGTGCAGCGCTTTTCTCTGTACTTGATCAAAACAGTAGTTCACTGTTTCTTTCCGTTTCGCAGCTGCACGTTTTTGCAAGTTTCAAGTACTTGATTTCTAGCTTCCTAGTTGAAAGAGGCTTTCCTTACGTAATGCCGTACAGCATTTTCCTGATAGTTTTTAACTGGCTATGTATGTCCACATGCCATCTCGAAGATGTTTTTCATTCATCGTTTAGAGTCCCTCGACAAGAACGAAAACACAAGAGTCGAAAAATAATCATCGCTATCTGGAGGAAGTCAAGCCAAATGGAGGATTATTTTGCGCAGATCACTCCGCAACAGCTGGAATACTATGCTTGGATTCTGAATGAAGTCAGAGAACAGTTTGATGAGACACTGGAACGCTTACGTACACTTGACGAGGCATTGGACTATATAAAGGTATGAGCAACTTATTATTTCACTTAAGAGTCTTTCTTTTTACTTGTTAGTATAAAAAATCTTGCAGCAGTAGAAACGTCTAATTTATTCACATACTTCTTTACTTGTGCGAAAGAGCAAACAGTTGATATTGAGCCAGCTTATTTTTGTTTTTGGAGTGTTGGAATGTTTAAATAGCTACTGACTTAGATTATCAGCTTATTGACGGTTAGAACTCCGATGCTTATTGCGTTAAATTCATTCAGAATCAACTTCACGATATCTCGCATCGTCTGAAGCGCATGGAGAAGATGGACAGACACTCAAAAGTGCAGAGCCAAGCGAATTGATCTCAGTGCTGAAATACGACAACTCATGTGAAATATGGTAACTTGTAATCCCAGCAACTTTGAAAGGCTGTAATTTACGAAATCCACGATTCTGCAAAGGGAATATAAAGAAAATCATAGAAAAATAGGTAATCAGGTTGAAATTTATTATGTTAGATTCTGCCTCAGTAAAATCGTAAGAAAATGTGTAATTGCAATTTTTGAAGTGACCTCATTTTAACTCTACTGGTAAGTCCGGATAAGAATAGCTAATTGTCTTGATTTTAAAATTAAAGCATCGTAACTGGATGAATCAAGGTAATATGGTCACACCTAGTAAAAAAGCGAGAAACTGTGTTTTAGTAATTTGATTTTTTGAAAATGAATCAAGATTATTGAAATGCCTCATTGTAATTGTGATGGTAAGTGCAAGGTAAAATTGAGTGGAAATTGAAAATTATTCTGGCATTTGCCATGAAAAATGAGTTCAGCAACTGCTGGGTGATTTATAGCAAACAAAGAAATTTTGCAAAGTAAGAATTAACAATGTCTTTGTAGTTGATTTGCAACTGTTGGAATGTCTGTTGTTTATTATCTTGTAAATGTGTATATGTAATGTGATATTGATTTGTGGCTTTAGGATGATCTGCAATGTAGATTAGAATTGAAACAAAGTTGCAATGGAATATTTTCACAATATTCGTTTGTGAATGTGGTACGCTAATATCTCATGTCATCAGTGCCTGTTGAGGCACTGTCCAACCCCTTCAATTTTTCGGATTCTAAAAAATATCAGCTATAGAGTACCAAAATTGAAATTGGATCTCAAAGTTATTAGAGTTGTGGGAAAATCGAGCAGAGAGTAATATTGCAAATTTCAGGAGCGTCGTTTTTCTGATAGAAATGTATTAAAACAAATCACTGATGAGGCAGATGATTTTCGGATAATTTGAGACTTTTTTGTGATGGGTGAGAGTAGCCAACTATTAATATAGCTGGAGCCATTTGTCTCAGTGCTTAGGCTACTGCTTTACTGGAACTTCATTTCCTTTTGCGCGCCGCATCTTACCTGCTGAATTGTTTGGTCATTGTCAGAATTTTCGGAGGGGCATCCCTACATCAGATTGAGGGACTTAGAAGCTCATTTAGTTGTCATAGAAAGATATTGAATAATACGAAAACGTGGACTGCTAGCCGTCGGAGAAATTATTTTATTATATTTTAGTCTAGCTATAAATCTTCTCAAAACTAACCCAAAAGAAGGAATGGTTTTGTCCTATGGACGGTTCGCTACTTTGGAAAAAAAATAGTTTCTTAGCATTCAATAAAATAAGCGCTGAGGTTTGTATATAAAAATATGTACCGTTAACCGTGTTGAAATAATTTTAAAATAATCAAGGTCAATTCGATATCATATCAAGGCCTGCAGGCAATGTTGATTTGTTGGAAATTAATGATAAATTATTAACGTTTATGTTATCGTTACAAGTAATAGACAAGGCACTGCTTCAAATGAAATCTGTTTTCATTACTAATATCTAAATTATTCCTTAAACTAATACACGAATTACACATAATAAGATTAACAATATTGTTCCGAGTCTCACTGCGTATGATGTAGGCCACATTGGTATGCAACTCTTGATATCGCTTTTTGCTCCCTGTGAAGATAAATTTACATTTATGTCCGTAGAATATTCACATAAAAACCGTTCGCATTCAAATTTTGTATCCAAACAATGAAACGTGAAGGTTTGCTGAATGAAATACTTTGAAGATTTGCTGAGAAATATGGAAAGGAAGTGATGTTACTGATATTACCTCGGTTGTATTCTGTATAACTTCAACTGGACTCTGCTGAAGATTTGCAATTTCTTCGTCTCCCCTGTAAGGCGCAAAGCTCAACAAAATATCTTGAACAAGCTCATTTGGTCCACCGTAGGCCAACTTGCGATTAAAGCACTATTCAAATGTCATAAAACTCGAGACAGAGTAAAGGCAGGCACTAGGTAGAGTGATACTGTTGGGCATTAGTCTGTTACATAAAAATCATGGCCAAATTAGGCGCACAAGTTTTGTAAGCAAGGCAATGTCTTCAAGAACGGCAGTTATATGCACAGTATAACATGCAAAAAAGCCTTCGTTGTCATTAATTGTGATCCGCGTTCGGAATTGCCCACGTTCCAGTGTGTCAGTGCAGAACCGACGCTGTGCCAGTGTTGTGCCGGAGTTGTACCTACAGAGATCGATCGATAGGTGCTAACGGTGTTGGCACGACGCCGGCTGACAACAACTCTGTACGCAATTCGATTGGGCTACAGTCTTTTGACAGCAGTGTTGACCAAATCTATCAAGATATCTATCAATGAAAACTTGCATTATTTCTTCCAAATGCTTTGTTGCAAAATCTGCGATAACGTTTGACGCTGGCACTGTTGCACTTGCCAAGTTTCCGTATACAGATAACATCTTATTCAGATTTTGAACTATCGGCATTTTTCCTTTTCCACTGAATACCGAAGCTTACTCGATGGCTGCGAAAGAAATATGACTTTACTCTTTTCGTTTCATTTTCACACAGATCGAATCTTGTTCAGTCTCCAAGCTAACATTGTATATATTGTAAATTCCATATTTTCTCATCAATTTTTTGAGCTTTTGCAAGTACGGATTGATCTTCTCATTTATCATGTTAGTCAGCTGCAAATTAATTGCTTTTACTGTATAACTACAGAATAATGCAATGATAGCTTCTACCATTTGAGGTACTTCTTCATTGATTTTTGCTGTGATAATACTATCAGCCTGCTGTTTGTACTCATCCATTCCTTCCATATCTGGAGAAAATTCAACGTTAGCATTGCACTTCATCGTGATATTTGGTGCAAATTTAAAGTCGTTCCATGCAAGCTTGACGTCAAGGCTGACATTTTCCAACTTCGCTCTGAGAATAATTTCATTACCTTGACCTGTAGAGATCGGAAGGTAGCATACGGAAGGCGACAGTGTGTGTCAAAAGTAAGCAATTGTTAGCTCCGCCCACTTCAGGGCCATCGTGTCACCACATCGTGCGAGGATCTGCATCGGTCAATACCTCAGCACCTTGGTCTTGGCACGGAAAATGGGCGGAAGCTTTTTTTTGTAGTTGTTTTTTAATTTTCGGGAAATAAGTTGTTGCCTTCCACAACACACTTTTCAAGCTCGGCTTACCCAATTTCACCTTTCCTTTTAGCTAATTGGATCCATATGAATATCTCTTCCCATAATTCTAACTCAGCCTCAGTGCTCAAGTGAAATTGCATATTCTCTGCCTGAATTACCAAGTTGCAAAGAATTTTCACTTTCTAATGTATTTAATTGCACTTACTCGTAAATGTATACCATCACTCATGTCTGGAAATGAAAATTCGGACCCATTTAACGACACTTTATCTATCACTATATCCCAAATGCGGTATACCAGTTTACCCTCCTGTAAAATTTTTTGCGAGCCGCGGAAACAGCGGTATCAAATGTTTTTTACAAGTGAATTTCTATAAAACTGGTTTAAGAATTAAAATAAGAAAGAAAAATTTATGCACTAACTTCGCCTTGTCACCCTGTTTCACTCACTATCGCTCATGTATAAACTTTTACGAAAACGACTCATTGAGGGAAGAGGATGCATCATTGATCCAGTTAAAAATAAAATAACGAACCTCATTTTTGATGATTGGAAACTTGAATGACTTTGTTGCCGCGCTAACAAACTCTTCATCTTTTACTATATCCCATATTTTAGGTGAAATGGAGATTACTATGGGTTGTAGGTCTTTGGTTTTTAGTTGACTAAAAACGTGCGTTTCTTATCCGATAAAAACTCATTGTTCAATGAATTGAGTGATATACCTTTGGTAAGACATCAAAGCAACGCTTCCAAACGTTATGGTCATTACTAGTATTGTAGATGCAGCTGCGCATATAGACCAGCACACTGCGTTGATATACGTGTAAAGGTTCTCTATTTTTTCGCCAATCCTAACCATAAGTTGCTCTCCTTTACTCTTCTTTCTCATATATTCTGAAACAATTCTTCCAGAATTTGTATAGCTGCTATACAAGGTGCAGGAAGGAGGTCCATCTGTTTTGAAAACATGGGAACCAATTGTATCTTGACAAACAATCTTTAATCTGCACCTGTTTTGAAGAATGAGGGAAAGTCCTTGAATATTTGATGCCATTGCTGTGCTAATTATATATACTTGCTTCTTGTGTTGTTATGTACAAGTCCTTCGAAAACTGGATTGTTAACTTTATTCTATCGGAAGTATGCCTTCTCGAGAGGAGCGAGCGTTGATGGCGAGGAGATGCACGAGGAGAGGATGGCTGACCAGCAAACTGCGCGCATTCTCGTGATTTTATAGAACAGCGTCTGGTTCACCTTGTGTCGTTCCAGGATATGAACAACACCTAAGACTGCCCTACGAGTGGCACTTGGCTATAGCGAACACTCATAAACGTCGGAAGATTTTTCGTCAACGCTTTCGTTGCAAGGCGCAGCTTAATTGAGCTGGCTACATTGCTGCTATCCATCTGTGGCAGACAATCTCCGACATGGAACAGAACATTCAGTTGAAGCTTTACAGGATGCTAAAGATTAATGCTTCTTGAGAAGACACAAAGCTGAGCCGAATGCGCCGATGCCATTGCTGCTCACACTTTTTCAAGGCACGCTACGGGACGATACTCATTTCGGACGACGAGAATTTTGCCGCGAAGCAAGTTTCAATCTCCAAAACAACGCACTCATCTCGTAGTCGCTCCAAGAACCTAATATTATAGTAAGGGTTAACTCACAGAAAGAAGGCTTCATCCGGCTTTTGTGATGGTTGGGCAGCGATCACTTTCGACGGCAAGATACCGCCGGCTATGTGCTTCAGGACATCATGTCAGACGCTGCTACGTATTTGAATAGCATCCTAGAAGGAACTGTTGGCCTAGACCAATGCCCATTTTGCCGGAAGAGATAGATACTTCTAGCAGGATAGCGCACCTGCGCACAAAACGAAGTTGTTCAAGCATGGCAGCATGTGAAGTATTTCTTTGGAATTAACTGGCTGCCGTCAAGAATTTCATTACTCCTGAGGATTTACTCCGTGTTCGCCGGATCTGAGCCCCGACTGCAAAGTCTGTTTAGTTCTCGGCCAAAGCCTGCGCTCCACACAGGACTGTGGAGTCTCTCCAACGTGCTCTCCAGAATGCGTGCGAGGAAATCAACGTAGAGTACCTCCGGGCCACCATGCAAAGCTTTCCCAAGCGCCTTCGAGGTTGTGTTCGCGCCAAGGGAAAATCTTTGGTCAATTTTCTGTTTATCATTGCTTCTATATAATCATTATATTGCTTCCATGTAATCATCTTGCCTAACTCCATGATTACTATTAATATACCGTGTTCAAGGACTTTCCCCCGACTCTGTATCATGTGCAAGGATCTTGGAAATCTATCGTGGCACCAAACGGCGCCCTTTGTCGGAGTACGAGTTTGCAGAGGTGACCTAATGATAGTGGGCTACGACTGTAGAACTTATCAGCAGACATTTGGGTAGAAGCTTTGGCTCACTATCAGATTTCACTGCTATCATGCTGGGGTTCTCTGAAACCCACTTGGCGTGTAAGCGCATGCGGCATGACTACAGTTTTCACGACCTCTCTTGGATATCTCGAGAGAAAAGTCGCGTACACCACCTGTTTTATGTAGCACCCACGGCCCAAAGAAAACACTCGGGCGAGCACTGGGCCTTACTGAACACACTGCATATCCACTATCCCGGCAAGCCCGAGCCTCAACACAGAGTTTTTGCATTGAGCAAGCCCCGGCCCTCATCAGACATCGCCCATATCCTATTTTGGTGAAGCAGTGGACCTTAAAGGCAGTGTCTCACCAAAATCTAGTTGCCGAGTTTTTTGCATTTTGCAAGCCTGTCGGACCCTGTCTAGCACTGTTTGGGCCTAAAATCGCACGAAGTTCCAAAAGCCCCGTTTTCTGGAGGCCCCGCGGAAGCAACGTGGACGAGTTGTACCTTCCAACTTCAGCCTCAGCCACAGTGGCAGCAACAGAGGGGAGGTGGATGCCAAGTGGAGGGAGACATGTTCAAACGCGTAAGGGGGGAGACCGAAGGAGTCGTCCGCGCGTACCAGCCGCTCTCCGCGTACCGATTTGAGCGAATTTTTCTCAGCGTGAAGGGGGTCAAATTGAGTGGGACTTGTTGCAATGGCCTATTTAGAGGTCCCTATTATACTTGGGTCCGAATCGAATAGAAATTCGATCATTCGAATAAAACATTCGAATATATTCGTATTCGAAATTCGATATTCGGAGTTCTTCCATTTTCAAATAATATTCGAAACTCGAATAATAAAAAAACGAGGTTTCGAATAAAATTCGAAAACTCGAATAATCAAAAAACGGGGTTTCGAATAGATTTTATTTGAATGTTTTATTCGAATGTTTATTCGAATTCGTATTCGAATGACTCCGTATTCAGATTATTCGACTTTGTTGCAAAGCCAACTGCTGATTTTCGCAAAACTCGGTAATGCATCTTTTGCAACCGTTATACCTTTGAACTGTATGGAGAGTCGCATTCTTCCGACTGCTTGCGACAGTAAAAAAAATCATATGTGGACTTTAATTGATGTAGAAAGTAGAGAAAGCCCTTTGCTTTTACACTGTTGATGCTGATAAGAAATAAAGTTAATTCTGGTGTACATCAGTCTTTGGGCACAGCATAAAAATTTATATCGACTGCTTTTTAGATCGTCCATAATGGGTAAAATATGACTTTTTGCTGATGTATAAACTAGTTGCCGACCGATTTTATCGATTTTTGGAAAATCTTGAGCTGCGGGGCTGGGAGTTGGTACAAGGGGGTAAGTGAGGGTGCTGATTATGGATAAAAATTTACTTTATCGAATTACCGATTTTTAAAAATCTTGAGCTACGAGGTTGGGAGTTACTACGAAAGGGAAAGTGAGGGTGCTGATTAAAACCGAAATCTATTCTATCGATTTCAGCAATTTTTGGAAAATTTTGAGCTAGGAGTTGGTATAGGGGATACTAGGGGGTATACTTGGGTAATTCGGAAATTTTTCATCGAATGAATGAATATCGAATAAATTCGAAAATGAAAAATTTCGAATAAACGAATATCGAATAAATTCGAAAATAAAAAATTTCGAATAAACGAATATCGAATAAATTCGAAAATTAAAAAATATCGAATGAATGGATATCGAATATATTCGAACATTGGGAGTCGAATTTCGAATAGATATTCGAATGATTTTTCGAATAACTACAGCAACGAGATTTAAACTTGCTGACATATTTGGCTAAAGCCGATCCATTCATAATCAGCACCCTCACATTCATATTCATGCCGGTCCATTCATAAACAGTACTTTCAGATTTTCCAAAAATCGGTGAAATCAATAAAATTGATTTTATTCTTAATCGTCACCCTCATTTAGCCCCCTGTACTAACTCCCAACCTCGCAGCTCAAGATTTTCGAAAAATCGATAGTGGCAACAAAGTGAATGTTTATTCATTATCAGCACCCTCATTCACCTCTGTACCAACTCTCAGACTCGTAGCTCAAAATTTTCCAAAAATAGTTGAAATCGACAATGTAAAATTTTATTCATAATTAGCACCCTCCCTTACCCCCCTGTACCAACTCCCACTCTAGCTAGCATCTCTAACTGGCAAATCGCGCACGACTGTCGCGTGAAGTATGTGCAGGGCCTGTCATAATCAAAGCTCGCGTTTCTCAGTAAACCTTTTCCGTCCGGCCTTAACCTTTATCATAGTTGATAGGCAGATAGCTCCCGGTGTTGAAGTGCCTGCAAGCCTCTGTGAAAATCTTGGATGCACTGTATAACAGAACTATCATGTACTATTTATGAAGAAATTGCATTGTAAGGTGACATGACTGCAAAACTCAGCAACCGTCTAATCCTCCACTACAGCTGCGATGTCCTTAACTCAAAATACACCAATTCGCGAAAATTCTCTAAGGTAAAAATAGAAGCAGTTGTGCAGCATGAGTTTTACAAGCAAGAGTGCTCATTAGTGTGCACCTTTGCGTATTAAAAGCATAAGCAACGCAAGGAAAGAGAAGCATGCATGTCAACACATTTCCAGTATATGAACTTGGAACTTGAGCTTGAATTTGATAGCTGTTTTTTTTGCTGATTTGGTGCCAATAGCAGTGTCAACTACCTCACTGACCGAAAAAGCATCAAGTACATTGCACATGTTATTTGCTGTCGCAAGCAGTCGGACGAATGCGACTTTCCATACAAAAGGTGATCATGATTGCAAAAAGATGCATTACCGAGTTTTGCGGAGAAAAACGCAGACGAAGCGAGCAGTGGCGATCCCAAAATTTCGGGCCGGGGGGCGACAAAAACTTTTCTGAGTGAAGCTGCGTGGCGTTAGCCAGAAAATTTTGAGAAGCATCCCAAAAAATTTCAAAAAATTTTTTGGGATGCTTCCCAAAATTTTTCCGGACCCAGCCCATGGCCCCAAAATATTAGAAAAAGGGGGCGTGGCGGTAGCCACGCCCCGAAATTTTTTTCTAATTTGAATTTTTGAAAATTTTAAAAATTATTTTTGTTATGTAAAAGTATAAACAAGTCACTTGCACATTTTTATAACCCATATAAGTAACTTTTGAAAACTTCGCGGCCCATCGTGGGAGGGGGGGGGGGGGGGGACCGCCACTGGAAGCGAGCTTGATGCTCAGCAGTTCGCTCTACAACAAACTCGAATAATCTAAGTACGCGGAGTTCATTCGAATACGAATTCGAATAAACATTCGAATAAAACATTCGAATAAAATCTATTCGAAACCCCGTTTTTTTCATCATTCGAGTTTTCGAATTTTATTCGAAATCCCGTTTTTTGATTATTCGAGTTTTCGAATTTTATTCGATTCTTCGTTTTTTGAGTATTCGAGTTTCGAATTTTTTTCGAAACCCCGTTTTCTCAATTATTCGAGTTTCGAATTTTATT